TCTCCACTCTGCACTCCCCCCATCATTCACTATGGTAAGATTTTTTGTTCTGATGATGCCTTACACCTGATCCCTTCTACACCTCGTGATTGCATAGGCTGGTGTGCTTCTTCCATGTGGGCTTTGTTGCTTCTGAGCTTGATGGCCACTTGATTACCTTTTTAATTAGATTATTATCTTTTTCCTGTTGAGATGTTGAGATTTTCTATAAATTCTAGAGATTAGATCCCTGTCCTATATGTGATTGTCAAAATTCTTTGCCTGTGGATTCTATTTTGCTCCTTTGGTGAACTCTTTTGATACATCCAAATCAAAAACCAAACACTGCCATAGCAACGCTATACTTGCCCCTGTGAGTTTGCAAGACTGTGACTGTTAATCAGGAGTAGAAAGCCTCATCTGTTTCCTCCATTGTGACTGGTGGTTTCCAACTGCTGACCTTGCAGACAATAGCCCAACGAGCAACCACTATGCCACCAGGGCTCCTTTGATAACACATAAGTATCTAATTTTTAGGAATACCCAGTCATCTAATTTGTTTTCTGCTGTTTCTATGTTTTAGTTATGTTTGATAGTATATTTACGCCATATATTCAGACCTATAAGTTTGTCCCTATTTTTTCCTTGAAAATATTTGTAGTTTGGGATTTTACATTTAGGTTTTTGAATCATCTTTAGTTCATTTGAGATATGGGTCCTGTTTTTCCAGCACTGTGTTTTAAAGAAAGTATCGGTTCCCCCATCTAATGACCCTTGGCCCTTGATCAAAGATGAGCTTTCTCTAGGTAGATGAATTTACTTATGGGTTCTGGGATTCCCATTCTGCTCAAGGCTATCCAGAGATTGTTATGGTCCACACAGTCTAATGCCTTCCACAGTCAATAAAGCACAAGTAAACCTGTTTCTGATACTCTGTTTTCAGTCATGATCCCCCAGACATCAGCAGTGTTACCCCTTGTTCCATGTCCCCTTTTGACTCTGGCCTGAATTTCTGGCAGCTCCCTGTTGATGAACTGCTGCAACCATTGTTAGATGATCTTGAGCAAAAATTTACTTGCATGTGATATAAATGATACTGTTTCATAATTTATTCATTTTGTTGGGTTACCTTTCTTTGGAGTGTGTACAGATTTGGGTTCTTCCAGTCAGTTAGCCAGGTCACTGTCTTCCAAATCTCTTGATGTAGACAAATGTATGCTTCCAATGCTTCAACAGTTTGTTGAAACATTTCAGTTAATATTCTGTCAATTCCTGGAACTTGCTTTGGGGTAATGCTTTCAGTGCAGCCTTGCGCTTCTGCCTTCAGTGCCATTGCTACCTCTTGAAATGGTGAATGTCGACTAGTTCTTTGTCGTATAGTGACTATTCTTTCTGTCTTCTTGCTTAATCCTAAGAAACTATTAACTAATTAATGACTCTATAGTTTTACCTTTCCTGGGTTTCACATAAAATCATACCTAAAAAAACCAACAACAAAATGCAACACAGAAAAACTTCAATTCAAAAGAAAGCGGGAAGTAACAAAAACTAGAACAAATGGAAAATGGGTCAAACAAATGATAAGATGGAGCCGTTCTACTCCCATAAAGGGTTAACCATCTTGGAAACTCAAAGAAGCGATTCTACCTAGCT